ATTCTTAGCTCTAGGGATACACTGTCAGAAATGAAGGCTGCAGAGAGCAAGTAATGAAAACAACTGGCTGAAGAATGGCACACACAACTAAACATGGCTGCCTATAAATGGGACATTGCATGATGTCCTGGGGCACAGGAAGCACACACGTATAATCAGCAGCTACCTGGCAGCTGCCCTGCTGAATATGGACACTTACACATCTGCAAGGATTTGCAGGGTTCAAGGTGATCAAGAGAGAGGCTGGAGTCAACAAAAAAAACAGGCACTTTGGCTAGTTCAAATGTTAATCACAATCTTGGTAAATTTGGCAGCATCCCCTGGAAGAATCCATGTACATAGATACATCAGCGTTTGGCACAGTATTGTACAAACTCTACTAAGCTCTTTTAACCCCCGGCATTAAGTTCTTTTTCTTTGTTTAAAATATAGGCAAGAAGCTTATTCTGCTTTTCTACTTATTCAAAATATTTTTGTTTACTGAACTTTGTATACCTCCTTTAGTTCTAGGGGATTTCTTGCTCTCACTGATTTCTGAAGGAAGCTGTAAGAGTCTACACATCTCAAGGCTTGTTCCAGAGTTTTTACCCATCTCTCAATTCCTTTTCTATGTTAAAGTGGTAGCAAATATTTTGTTTCCCCTAACTCTCCAAGACTCTTTTCAATGTAGTTGGCAGAAAGCAGTTTTGGAAACCATTGGAAAACTTGGCTTATCTCCCCAAGCACTTTTGAACCAAGGGTTAGACCAAGCCACATCACGTACTAAACAAAGAGTGACAGATATAGAAAGACAAATGGATATTCATAGAACACCTGGTTTTATCTCTACTCCAAATTCTAGATTTGTTGCTGCTCCTGTTGCACATCTATATTTTCTTGAATCAAATAATTCCAGAAGGGCTTTTACATTGGCAAGAAGTTCAACTCTACCTTCTGCTGTTTTGGAAGGGAGGTTTAAATCAGTCCCCTATGTGCATAGGCTCTGTTCTTGCTCTTTAAAGGAAATCAATTCAACGGACCATATTTTTTAATTACCCTGGGCACAGAGAAATCTGGTTGAAACTCATTGAACCACTGATCAAAAAGTTCCCTGGCAGGTAAAAAAAAATTAAACTAGATTATCTTCTGTCTGATATGAACCATGAAACAACCCGAATAGTGGCTAAATTTTGCGCAGAGGTGTATAAAGATTGAAAAATGCATACAGTAGCTTGAGTGAATTTTTAACGCTGTGAAATTTGATTGTTGGATTTTATGTAAACCTTTGTGTATTTATTTATTTAATTTATGCCCCGCCCTCCCTGCCGAAGCAGGCTTAGGGCAGCTTACAAGAGCAACACAGAAACAGTAATAGCTTAAATAGGTAAAAAAAGGTAAAGGTTCCCTTGCTCGAAAGCCAGTCGAATCCGACTCTAGGGTTGCGGTGCTCATCTCAGTTTCAAAGCCGAAGAGCCCACCTAAAAACAATTCAAAACATAAAGTGCTAGCAAGTTGTAACTATACATTAAGGATGGTGGCAACACTTACTTTGTTCATCAGTTCTTGATCTTTATCACATATATACAACTGGCATAGATTGTAATGGCGGAGTCGGGCGCCCCTTTAGTGATGATGTTGGTGATAGTGATGGTGGCGGCTCCTTAATTGAAGGCCTGGTGGAAGAGCTCCATCTTGCAGGCCCTGCGGAACTGTAAAAGAACCCGCAGGGCCCAGATCTCTTCTGGGAGCTCATTCCACCAACACGGAGCCGCCACCGAGAATGCCCTGGCCCTGGTTGTTGCCAGTCTGACGTCTTTGGGCCTGGGAGGGTCAAGCGGTTTTGTGACCCTGAACGCAATGCTCGCTGGGGTACATATGCTGGTCATTGACTGTAAAATTAAAAATTTGATTTGATTTGTTCAATTAAGATGTGACACACACCCCAAACTTTTTTCAATTTTCCCAGTGGAAAATTAAGGCGATCGCTTTTAAAAAAAACCCCTCATTAAATATTTTTTCTTTTACAATGAGATAAATGCTTAAAAAAAAAGAACGCATATTATGAAGATTTTTATGCAAGGTAATCTACAATATTAGATAATAAGAATTCCTTGGTTTACTGTAGATATATATAATCAGGGATATATTTATTGTTTAAATGACAAATTTTGTCTACAATTAGTACACTGTAATCATAAATATTGTATAGATAAGTGTTTTCAATGTTATAAAATTTAACTCAGTATCCATGTATGTTAGCTCTGGGACTGCATGAGACAGTGGCTATCCAACTTGTTTTCTTTACTGTAAAATTTTCAACTTTTATTTCTTTCTACCTCACAGATGGTAAAAACCAAGATAAATGTGCTGAGAAAGCCCAGGGTGCACCAGTTTTCAACTCTGTTTCTATGTAGAACTTGGTGTATTTGCAATATGCCAAATACTTCCCATATAACATTCCACTAAATTATAAATAATTCGTTTTATGTTGTTAAACATATAGAAGCTTAGACCTGATAGAAAATTACAGCACAGTCCTCTGCAGAGTTAACGCCAATTTCAGTCAACCGATGTCAATAGGGTTAGACCGCAGATTCTGCATAGGAATGCACTATTCCATATATTTCCCCACAATTTCCTTTAAATATGGAGGAAAATTGGTTTTGGCCATAGCTTCAAAATTTCCAGAAATATTACATTCTGTATTATTGAGCTTCAACCAATGCACTTTTTAACCTAAATTAATTTCTAAAGAAACTGAGCTATGACCCAAACAAATAGAGCGCTCAGTTATTTCCTTTACTCCTGTCTGACAACAAAGGGTTGGGAAGGCCTTTGTCTAACTGAGAGCTGTGATGTCTAGTATCTGACAAAGAGAGCTTTGACTCTCAAAACTTTATGCCCCCAAAAAACTTTTTGTTGGTCTTTAAGTTGCTCCTGGATTCGAATCTTGTTGTTCTACTACAGACCAATACAGCTATCCTCTGAAACTGACTTTGCACAGAGTATAGATCTAATCTGTATTACATCTTAAAGGTTCATTTCTATCAGCCCACTCCTTTGCCCATGGGATCCTGTGCTATTTTTTGTGGACTTTATACATTTCTGTGGCCAGGGGGCCTGTGCAGTGTTTCGAGGCTCGTAGAATGTAGTTCTTTATGGCTTCATGGTTTGCGCTCTTTGCTGTATAACTGCTCAAAGGCCTTTGGGCTTATGCAATTTTCTGCGGCCTTATAAAATACTGAGTGGCCCAATAGTTTGATTTTTGAGATTTTTATGGACAGCTATGAAAAGTTGAGTTCTTTTGGGGAGAACAGCATGCCATACTGCAGAGAACAAGGCTTTGACCCGAAGTATATAAAAAAAAATATGCAGGGGAATCAAGTGAATTAAAATAATTTCCCACAGAAGATAAATCAATACTGAGAGAACTGTGGATATGTCAAATTAAAACATGAAACAAAATGCAAAACCGTGAGATGAAGCAGATCAAAAGGGAGGAGATTCACAGATATGGGGGTAAACCTGAAGATTAGTAAATTGGAGAATGACTCTTCAGAAAAAGATGCTAGTATACCACTACGATGCACCTAATAATATTGAAAACTTGGTGGGGAAAAGATTTTTAATTTGGTCTTTTAAACTAGACAACATCACAAGAATACCGTTCTGAAGGGAATCCCTGAAAATACTGAGAAAGATACAGCTGTATTTGTTGAAAGCATGCTATTCCTCTAGTATAGGTCTAATGCTCAATTTCTGGTACTTCTACTTAAAAATCTTTGGTAGCAGAGCTCAAAAAGATTACCCTGCTAAGACCTGGGAGAGCTGCTACTGAGAGTAACCAATATTGGGTGAGATGCACAGGAACAAGAATGGCCATGAACTGGCTCACGAACTTAAATACATGATGAACCAGGCCCAGCTCATGAACTGTTCATGCCATCCTGCCCCCACAAACCTCCCAGGTGGCTTTGGGAGGTTTATTGTGTGGTTTGTGTTGGCAGACATGCTGGTGCCGGTGGTGGGGCTTGGAGAAGGCATTTAAAGAGACTGCAGTCTCTTTAAATGCCTTAAGAACATAAGAGAAGCCAATGTTGGATCAGGCCAGTGGCCCATCCAGTCCAACACTCTGTCACACAGTGGCCAAAAATACCAGGTGCCATAAGGAGGTCCAGCAGTGGGGCCAGAACTCCAGAAGCCCTCCCACTGTTGCCCCCCCAAGCACCAAGAATACAGTGCATCCCTTGCTCCAGATCGAGAGTGCCTATCTATACCTTGTGGCTAATAGCCACTGATGGACCTCTGCTCCATATGTTTATCCAGTTCCCTCTTGAAGCTGTCCATGCTTGTAGCTGCCGCCACCTCCTGTGGCAGTGAATTCTGTGTGTTAATCAGTCTTTGGGTGAAGAAGTACTTCCCTTTATCTGTTCTAACCTGACTGCTCAGCAATTTCATTGAGTGCCCACGAGTTCTTGTATTGTGAGAATGGAGGGAAAAAAGTATCTACTTGTTCTATTCCATGCATAATCTTATAAACCTCGATTGTGTCACCCCTTAGTTGTCATTTCTCCAAGCTAAAGAGCTTCAAGCGTTTTAACCTTTCTTCATTGGGAAAGTGTTCCAACCCTTTTATCATTCTAGTTACCCTTTTCTGCACTTTTCCCAATGCTATAATATACATTTTGAGGTGTGTCCAGAACTGTACACAGTATTCCAAATGAGGTCGCACCATCAATCTACAGGTGAGTGAATGCCTTCTGAGTTCACTAGTGAGTTGCGCGGGTTCCAAAATCCATTTCTTTAAATAGCTTTTGCAAAACACACCCCATCACGAACCATGAACCGCTTCATCAAACAGAAAGGTCCGTGGAGGCTCGTGAGACCCCACAAACCATGAAGCTTCATGAATCTCCATTTTCCCAGTTCATGCCCATCCTTACATGGGAGCTCTCATGGGCAGTTCCGCAGGGTTCAATATTGGCATTAGTTTTATTAAAAATTTATGTAGGACCACTGACTAAGATTGTCCAAAGCTTTGGAGTGGGCTGTCATCAATATGCTGATGGCACCAAGTTGTATATCACAATAAATAAACCCCTAGAAACAGCTGCCACCATAGTAGGACAGTATCTGGAAACTGTGGTATTGTGGCTGAGGAAGAATGTGCTGAAGCGTAATCTTAATGTGGCAAATTAATGTAATGTTGGTAAGTTTAAGGTTATGCAAATTGGGACCAAAAAATCCCAATTTCAGGTGTAGGCTAATGGGGTCTGAACTTGCTGAGACTGAGAGGGGAAAAGATCTTGGGGTGGTAGTGGACAGTGTTCCCTCTAAGCTGAGTTAGTGTGAGCTAGCTCACAGTTTTTTAGCCTCCGGCTCACACATTTTTGTCTTAGCTCAGGAGGGATGGCTCCAGAGCAAACTAATTTATGCAGTAGCCAAATCACTTGCTCACAATGTTTAATGCCAGTAGCTCAGAAAGTAGAATTTTTGCTCACAAGACTCCACAGCTTAGAGGGAACATTGGTAGTGGATAGCTCAAATGAAAGTGTCCACCCAGTGTGCTGCAGTGGTGAAAAAGGCAAACTCTGTGTTAGGGATTATTAGGAAAGGGATTGAGAATAAAATGGCCGATATTGTAATGCCCCTGTATAGATCTATTGCGTGGTCTCTGGTCACCCTAGCTCAAAAAACAACAACATTGCAGAGTCGGAAAAAGTACAGAGGAGGACAACCAAGATGATTAGGGGGTTGGAGCACCTTCCCTATGAGAAAAGGCTGAAGTCTGCGACTTTTCATTTGAGAAAAGAGATGACTAAGGGGGCACATGATAGAGGTTTATAAAACTACGCAAGGGGCGGAGATAACTGACAAAGAGAAAAGTTTCTCCCTTTCCCTCGAGGGCATCCAATGAAGATGATGTGCAGTAGGTTCAGGACAGACAAAAGGAAATACCACTGTACACAGAGAGTGATTAAAATGTGGAATTTGCTGTCAGAGGATGAAGTGATGGCCATAGGAATAAACAGTTTTAAAAGAGGTTTAGATAGATTCATGGAGGATAAGTCTATCGATGGCTACTGGCCATAGTGACTGACTGAGGGGAACCTCCACATTCAGAGCCACTAAACCTCTGAATCCCGGAGCCAAAATACAACATTTATTTATTTATTTATCCTTGGATTTATATCCCGCCCTACCCCGACTCGGCCTCTCTGCCCTGTTGTTGGCCCTCCAAAGGAACTGATTGGCCACTGTGTGAGACAGGATGTTGGACTAGATAAGGGGTGGCCAAACTGCAGCTCGGGAGCCGCATGTCGCTCTTTCACACAATCTAATTTAATGTTAATAAAAAGCAAATTTGTATATTTTTCAATAAAAATGTGTGTGTAATTTTTTCATGTGTTGCAACTCTCAAACATCTGACGTTTATTCTGTGTGGCTGTTACGTTAAGCAAGTGTGGCCACCCCTGGACTAGATGGATTATTGGTCTGATCCAGCAAGGCTCTTATTCTTATGCTCTTAATCTTGATAAGACAGAGATGATGCAGGATGGAAAAGCTGAGGTTTCTAATGGGTAACCTACCAACCTTGAATGGTGTGGCTCTATTATTAACAGACCAGACTCAGTTAGGAGCCTGGGAGTTTTGTTATATCCAGCTCTTTAGTTGAAAAAAGCAAATATTCCCAGGTAGCAAAGTGCCGTTTTTCTATTTCATATGACATGCAAATTGTCCTCTTTCTTGAATCCAGCCAACCAAGCCACACTAATCCACAGTATGGTAACCTTGAGACTGGACTAATATAATGTGCTCTATGTGAAGATGCCCTTGAGGACAACATGGAAGCTACAAACGATAAAGAATGCAGCAGCTAGACTGTTGACAGGGGTTCAGAAAATTTTTTCACTACACTGCATTCCAATTTTCTTTTGTGCTCAATTCAAACCACTGGTGTTAAACTCTAAAAGCCCAATGGAACCCTGATATCCATAGGTCCACCTGCAGCCATGTGCTCCCATGGCAACTCTGATCCCCCGACTAGGGATTATTAGCTGTTCCTCCACTCAGCTCAGGGAACTGTTATTTTCCAGCTTATGCTTCCTCAGTGGCTGCACCTGTCTTGTCGAACGGGCTCCGCAAACCCTGAATACATTTGAGGCTCTGTAGAGCAGAACTTTTCTGACATGCCTTAAGCAGCCCATGAATGGAGGTTGTGCTTTGCTTCCTTTTATTTGTCCTTTTCTTGAGGTGATATTGTATGTATTTGGCTTTAAATTTGATGTAAGCAGCTTTGAGTCCCATTGACTGGAAGAAGAGAAAGCTATAAATACAAAAGTTAACTTGAATAATGCTAGAGCATCAAGTGCTCTCTGACCATGCATTGCCTCTTAATTTTCAGGGTCACTCAACCTTTCCCACCCTGATTTGCATCAAATATCTTCATCTCCTTGCCACACTCATACAACAAAACTATCACCCAGGAACCATTTTCACTTTACCATGTCACTTACATCTTTCCTGTCCTTCTCAGGAACGACTTCCACTGCTAAAGGTTTCTCTTAGCTTCTTCTGTCCACAACATTTCCTAGTGTTGTGACTAAAGACAACACAAAAGCACTTTCACACCATCCAAGCATGAATTCTTATGATGCATTCACATGATTACCATCTCACTTGGGGCTGCTGGTGGTAGCTACTGCTGGTACCTAAGAATACAGCAATGATACATAGAGCTAACAGAATCTGGAAGTTCCAAGCAATTTAGTTGTCACATAATAGCTAGTCTCCAAAATTCACACGTTATGATATGAACCTGCACTAAAGGGAGTAACTATGACTTCCTCTCTCTCTCTCTCCCCTTCTCCTTAGAGTACCTTCTAAAATAAGAATCAGGATTACTATTTTCTAATGTTATGAAATAACTATATAGTGAGCCCGTGGAGTAACACATAAGCAACATGTACTAGTGCTATGCTTGGTGTACATACACCGTAAAAACAGTTTCAGAGTCATATGAAATTGTAATTGTGGAAGTTAGTAAATAGAAAAACCTCAGTACCACTGCCAAACTACAATTCCTACTACTTTTGTCTAAAGGAATCCATGACAGCTAAACTGGTATAAAACCAGCCTCAAGTTTTGATGTAGATATGCCCTTGAAAAATCTTCATCTACAACAGTAGTCTGGTTGTCTGAATTTCAAAGGTAATTCCCTATGACAAGAAAACAAAAGCTGGGAAAGTTGTAAAAACATGTCTGTCATTTTGGAGAAATGGAATGAAGTTAATATTCTGACATTTAAAATGCCATGGCTGCAACCCAGCACAAGTACTTTATTTCAATGGGATTTCAGTGCACATAACTCTGTTGGCTCCCAGCCCATGAATTTACTAGAGAATGCCTAAAATATAAATATACATTGTGAGGAATGACAGTATACCGAATATATTTTGGAGAATTAGTGTCTTAAACACACAGGCAGCAAATGACGGGTACCTGGCAGCGCGGATGGAGTTTAGAGTGGATGTACAATGATGTGTGAATGTGTGGGCCTATGAAGTGATAAGTATGTGATAAATAGCACAGGCATATGTCAAATAAATAAGCCACATACGTGTGCAATCTATCACAGAGGTTTGACTGATCCCATAAATATGCTAATCCACTTCACCTGGAATGTATTCAATTTCTCAGGCCCTCTAGACTCATTACTTTCTGAGGAGAAATCTCAACCAAGTAAGAGTTGTGGTGCATTCTCACTTCCCTCACTTTCATAGGATCAAACGATATGAGATTTTTTAAAATGAGCCAACTCTTTTCCCACAGCCATACAACACCTGTGAGGAAAATCATTTAATAAATCCGCGGGGGCCTAATTCAGCTCAGGACCATGGTGTGTGGTGGAGGGGCTCCTCTTCCTCCCCCCCCTGCCCACCCCATTTCCCCAAGCTGAAATGCCCATGGCACAGGGGAGAAGGCAGGGGCCTGTGGCAGGTTTTTAAAATGACATTCACCACAACTGCTGTGTGGCTGTGGGGAATTGTTTGTTGTTGTTGTTCAGTCACACAGCCGAGTCCAACTCTTTGCGACCCCATGGGGAACTATTACTTATTATTTATTATTTATCGCATGGCAAGGTTGTGGGGAAAGCAAACTGGATCTGGGGAACCCAGAACTGATGTTCAAAAGTCTTGTATTACCTGTTCAAAAGTCTTGTATTACCTGACCCTTAGTGTGTGAAGAAAGTGGTAACTGTGGTGCAGTGCATTTGTCTGAATGTGGGATCACTCTAGTCTCCAGGGCCTAGATTATAAAGAAGTGTATGTGGATTTCAGGTACTGGGAGACCCTATGGTTCAAAATAGAAAGCTGCACAAACCACTTCCTCGCTTTCTCCACATGGCTGGAAAGTGGGAGACACATGGATACATGAAACTGCCTTAAACTGAGTCAGACCATCTGTCCATCAAGGTCAGATTTGCCCACTCTGACTCACAGTGGTTCTCCAGTGTCTCAGGGAAAGGTCTTCCACATCATCTACTACCTGATCCTTTTACCTGGAGATGCTGGGGATTGAACCTGGGACCTCCTGCACACCAAGCAGGTGCTCTGCCACTGAGCCACGGCGCATCTAAGACTCTACCAAGTAGAGATTATGTTCTCATGTCCTCTTAGATTTCTCTCAAGAAAATGGCAAGCGAGCAGTGCCTATATCTTGATTTACAATTGCTTCATTTAATGACAAACTCTGGCTTCTTGTTATGGAAGTGAATCTTGCAAATCCTTGGGCTTGCATGCTCTCTTCCCCTTTTGCTTTGATACTGAAGACTACAGCATTCTCAACACTCCACAGTTTGCCATTTTGTTCTCTTACATACAAACTGGGATTAAACAGTGTTTTAGAATCTTGGAGTGTAGGCCGGATAGAAAAACAAAACAAGATCTTGGTTTGTCAGTTCAGAAGAAACCATAAAGTCTGTCATGCAAGAGCAAGGCTTCGGTTCCGAAGCCACAACGGAGGAGAGGAGAGAGCAGAGGACACAAGCCCACAGGCTTTCAAGGCTCATTCCCATGACGTGTGAATGCCACCCAAGAAAATCTACAGGTTGACTGTGTATCAGATGTGCAATCCCTCCCAAATTTATAGGGTAGCACACAGGGATTCTTTGCTGTATTTTAAAAAAAATGTTCTCTGTTGTTTTCTTATAATTTGTATCCTGTTTTTCTTCCTCCGCCACCCCTTCAACTTCAGTAGGGGTCCACATGTTATGGGAGGAATCATGAACGAGAAAGGAAACCGGTCACGACCTTCCTCAGCCAGGGGCAACTACCTCTTACCGCACTGCCAACTGCTTGTTTATGAAAATGCATGCAGTGGATAGTCACGAGTGAGACATCAGGAACTGAAGAGGTTGTTATTTTATATTGCCTGGTTCGAACAAGCCAGTGTTCTGACACGCTGGAATTATTTTGCTTTTTAAAATTGTATACATTATTATTACTGTTTTTCTTAATCCCACTTTTCTCCCCTTGTGAGTTTTTTTTGTTGTCGTCGTTAAAACGCTGAGCGAGCAAACCTCAAACAGGTCTACTCAGAGGTAAGTCCCATTTTATTCAATGAGGCTCACTCCCAAGAAAGTCTTCTTAGGACTAGAATCTACATCAGCTGAAGTATGAAAATGGAACATTTTAAAACCAACTTTTACATTTACAGTAAATCTGCTCCCAGGGGATGCACTCCATTGCCTTCTCTTCAGTTCCATGTTGGAAACGAGGTTATCTCCTGTCCTAGTAGACCAAGGAGGAAACTCCCTCCATGCTCCCCATTTCAGTTCAGGCACAGGGCGGTATTTTGCAAAATCTCTACCAACCTACCAACTAGTGTTCCCTCTAAGCTGAGTTAGTGTGAGCTAGCTCACAGTTTTTTGGCCTCTGGCTCAGACATTTTTGTCTTAGCTCAGGAAGGATGGCTCCTGAGCAGTGTTCCCTCTAAGCTGAGTTAGTGTGAGCTAGCACACCGTTTTTTAGCCTCCGGCTCACACACTGTTGTCTTAGCTCAGGAAGGAGGGCACCAGAGCAAACTGATTTACGCAGTAGCCAAATCACCGGCTCACAACTTTTAATGCCAGTAGCTCACAAAGTAGAATTTCTGCTCACAGGACTCCACAGCTTAGAGGGAACATTGCTCCTGAGCAAACTAATTTATGCAGTAGCTAAATCGCTCGCTCACAACTTTAATGCCAGTAGCTCACAAAGTAGAAGTTTTGCTCAGAAGACTCCACAGCGTAGAGGGACCATTGCTGGTTATGTGTAAAAAAGAAAGCCCTTATGTTTTAAACCAAACAGCTAATCAACCATTATGACAAGCTGATGATACTGAAATTACACTCCTTCCCTTATTCTTCCCTGCTGGCTGTTGTATGCACTGGACAACATGGGCCCCATCTGGTGGTCAAAATCAGCCATGAAGTTACCACGTACGGTACCTCCAGAAACTGCCTTAATTATAAGGCCAAATGCACCAAGAGCGGAATGCCTGCTCCAGGAAACAAATAGCACTCCATCATCTGGACCCGACACCCTCTCGTGCCTAAATACACATAGGGCAAATGCTGCTTATCGGAGTGCTAGCTTTACCTGGCAAGTTGCTAATGAATGCACGTGTTAACAGAGACAGGAGCTATGATCGCAGCCATATTTAGAAACTACGTAGCATTTCATGTATATTATCTCAGTAATCTTTACAGCAACCCCTGTAGGCCACAGTATTAGTGACACTTTGTAGGTGAGAGGCTGAAAACAGGAACACTGCGGATTGTTTAAAGCAATCTCATGAACTGAGAGACTGGAGATTTAAACCAGGGATTTCCAGCTCAAAGTCCAGGATGTTAGTTTTGGTTAAGGCTTCAGCCCCCCCCCCCCCAATTCCAAAGAGATGAGACCAAATGCAGGCCCCACATTAGACTCTCCTCACCAGTTCCTGCCTCAAGGCTCCTCACTTCCCAAATTCTTAGGCTCTTCCCCATTTTCTTGGTGTAGTGGTAAAGAGCAGTGGACCCTAATCTGGGAGAACCGGGTTTGATCCCCCACTCCTCCACTTGCAGCTGCTGGATGACCTTGGCCAAGCCATAGTTCTGTCAGAGCTGTTCTTTCAAGGACAGTTCTCTCAGAGCTCTCTCAGCCCCACCTACCTCACAGGGTGTCTGTTGTGGGGAGGGGAAGGGAAAGGAGATTGTAAACCACTCTGGGACTCCACGTGAAGGGCAGGGTATAAATCCAAGTTCTTCTCTTCTTCTTCCTTATGTAGGTATGAATAATTTCTGCAGCCACAGTCTTCCCTTCCTAACTCTTAACAAATACTACCTTGTTTTGTGAAGTTGTTTGTGTTGGAATTCTCTCACTAACACTGCTATATGAGCTCAGATTGGGGGATGAGGACACACAACTCCTAAATTGTTAAGTATTCTCTCTTTCCTGTTGATATATGGACTTTGGGTTCTGTCCCACTTGAGGTTGTACTCACACAATCCTATTCTTTGCTGATTTAAACTGAACAGAAGGGTGAAGGAATCTGAGACAGTTGAAGAATCAGCTAATGGTTGAGACTGTACAACAGTGAACAGACAATGATGGCCAAGATGGCGCCAAGGCAGCTGCTCTGATTTCTAACGCTCTGCAAGTTATCTGCTAACAACAGTGAACATCCAGTTAGTGTCCTAATGATGGGAAAGAACAGTTTGAATTCCACTCTGCCAGCTGCTGCCCTTTTGGTATAATACAGTTACCTTGAAAATAAGTAACTGTGCCACTGCTTTCATGGTAGTTTGATGTGCCTGGTGACCAGTGCTCCCTCTAAGCTAAGTTAGTGTGAGCTAGCTCACAGTTTTTTAGCCTCTGGCTCAAACATTTTTGTCTTAGCTCAGGAAAGATGGCTCCAGAGCAAACTAATTTATGCAGTAGCCAACGCTCACCCACCCACAACTTTAATGCCAGTAACTCACAAAGTAGAATTTTTGCTCACAAGACTCCACAGTTTAGAGGAGGAGGAGGAGAAGATGAGGAGGAGGAGATTGGATTTATACCCCGCCTTTCAGTTGGAGTCTCAGAGCGGCTTACAAACTCCTTTCCCTCCCCCTCCCCACAACAGACACCCTGTGAGGTAGGTGGGGCTGAGAGAGGTCTTTCGGGAACTGCCCTTTCAAGGACAGCTCTGATAAAACTATGGCTTGCCCAAGGTCATCCAGCAGCTGCAAGTGGAGGAGTGGGGAATCAAACCCGGTTCTCCCAGATTAGAGTCCACGCTCTTAACCACTACACCAAACTAGGAGCATTGCTGGTGACATAAAAATGCCTTCACCTATCCCAGCGTTGTGACTGAGAGCAGCTCATCCAGGTCTCGGAATGAGGTCTTTTCCGACCATCCTACCAAAGACCTGTTTAACTGGAGATGTCAGGGATTGAACATATTGAACACATGAAGCTACTAAATACTGAGTCAGGCTATCTGTTTATAAAAATTAGCACTCTAATGGGCAACAACTCTCCAAGGTCTCAGGGAGAGGTCTTTCACATCTGACCTGGGACTTTCTGCATACAAAATAGGTGCTCTACCAGTGAGCCACAACCCTTTGAAGCGAGGACAACTAGAATGCAAAGTGTGCCTTCTCCCACTACTATCGTCCCTTTTCTAGAAGTACTGCCCTAGAGTAAACCGCTGTGATCCACTAGTGAGAGAAGGTCTGCTTCCCTCTTTGGCACAGGGAGACTTTGGTGTACTCTCATTAGGCAGGTACCGTGAGAATTATCCTTCAGTCGGATCAGTGCCAAATTTCATTCTGTCTGCTGGTCTCACAACAAGATCAGTATTGTGAACAGCAATGTTTAATTGTTCATTACTGAAAAAGCACATAGAACTTCTAGAAAAGATGTCACATTTACAGGATACAGGAATACCTGTTCGGTGCAATACATTAAGATTGCAGGATCCCCCCCCCCCAAATAATAGAGTAACTAAATTGTAAGGTGGGACTGATTTACATTTTAATTGCTTATGGAAATAACTATGATGTCTGCATGCAGAGTATGCATGCTTATCAATTTGTTATAACTTGTCTTCACACCTTACATGTGAGAACACTTTTTCTAATGTGCATGAAACTTCCAAGATGCAATTCTGCAAAGAAAACAAACTATCCCAACTAAAGGAGTGTCTTACATAAATGCAAAACATTTAACACCTACAGCCTTTGAGAGAATAATTTGGCTCTGGGTGTGTATATCGTTTCAGCTCATAAAACCCATGCTTCAGGACTTAACATGAGTTGGGTTTGTTTGTAAGTATGTCTCTGGGCATTTCAGTGAGAACAATTCTCACCATTTCGTTAGGTTTGCTATTCTTCTAAATGGGGGCTGATTTTTTTTAATTAAAAAGTTAAAACATCTGTATACCATATTATGCTTGAAAATCATATAAAAATGAATTCTGAGGAATTAGATTATTCAGAACCACTGTTTGCTTAATGATAAGTAAATGTTATACATAAGTATAAGTATCACAAGCACCTTATATTGTTTATAAAATCACAACAAAATAATTAAAAGCAGTAGTAGTATGAAAAAGTAGAAAAGACTATGAATGGATATACTTGAACTTTGCTTTCCATATTATGTCTTAAGATGTGTTTTTCTGTTTATGGGAACCAATTAAAGGCACCTTCTATTTTAGCTTTGGTTAAGCGTCACTCAACTGCCAGCTCATCTGGATAGCACACAATAACGTAACAAAGAGAACATCCTATGTGTTTTGGAAAAGTGTTACCCTTTAAACCAAAACAGAAAAAAGGAGAAATTATACAGAAACCATTATGATTTCAACAAAATACTGCATGTAAGAAAAAGCTGAACATCTAAATCAAACTAAATACCAGCCTCAAAGAAGCATACAAATAGCAAATCATAGCAACAACAACAAAAAATTGTAATATTTTGCTCAATGTACTTGTCAGTCCAGGAGAGAACACATCTCATAAATGTAAATGAACAGTAGTTGAATGTATTCACTGTTTTCTCAATGAAGGTATGTGAGTTCAGAAGAAAAAAAAGAAGAGGCGGAAGGAAATGACACTGAGACAGAAAGGCCTTTTCCAGTAGGGGGGAAGAAAGGCAACAAAAGAGTCAGGATATCAGAGGCAACAGGAGGTTTCAGAGGTAAGGAAGTCAAAAGAAGAGGCAAGCTCTGTCAGACGGGCTTGGCACGTGAAGGGAATGATGCACAACAATAAACTGTTGGGAGAGAAAAAAAGAGCAAATAATAAAATAAATGCTGAACAAAAACAATGTGTTAAATTAGTATCTTCCAGCATGCTTGCAACTAGTACAGATGGGAGTAACTTTCATTTGTGTAAACAGTTTTAATGCCTCGCTCCAGTGCAAAGACAGCCTACTCCCAAAGCTCCTAAGAATACATTAAGATATGTTCAATAGTTTCCAAACTGAGCTGGTTTCCCAGTGAGAATGTCCATAATGGTAAACAAGCTTCCCTGAAAGTTAATTCACCTTCCATCCACTACTCATCTTCCCTGCCACTGAAGCCACAGGGAAGCACTGGGTATAACCTAGGGCTGCATCAAAATGATACATGCAATGCAAGCCAGGTTGGGGCTCAGTCACATGTTCTGTTGGGGACTCACCTTAAAAAAAAATCACTTGGTCACTCAGTGTAGCTTGGAGCACTGGAAGGCTTCTTCCCTCCTGCGCTATTTCCCCTAGTGGAAACAGCCACAAAGGAGCCCTTGGGTTCCACGTGTCCTCGATTACATGATCCTAGGATACATGGAGCCCGAGGAAGGGGCAAATAGCCCCCCCCAGCTGTTTCTGCTAGAGAAAACAGCACAGGGATGAAAGGAGAAGCCCCTCTTTCCTGCTCACACCACTCTAAGCTGTGCTAAGCAGATCCCCCGAGAGTATGCATGATTGCGAGCCAACGTGTTGAGGAAGCCATGACCTGGCTCAAGTCACATGTATCATTTAGATGCACCCTAGGGCTATGATCTGTACCTAGGAATCACTGAGCTGCAAGCATATGACATTAGAGTCACACAGGCCCATAGCCAGGATTTTTAAATTCAGGGGGCCCTCAAATAAGTCAGGGGGGACCCCATGCAGACCCCCCCCAAGGGAGCACCACAAATACATTGGAAGTTGGGGGGCCTTGGGAGTATGTCAGGGGGCCGGGCCCCAAGATGCCCCACTGTAGTTTTGAGCCTGGAGACACAGGAAGAGGGAGAGACAGGTTACAATTCCATCAGCATCAAAGCGAGGACCATGGGCAGTAATCCTAGAGATCTGGGGACAGGAAACAGAAGCTGAACACCAGGTGGTACATTGTCACGAGGAACAAGTCAAACATGAGACTCATGGAGGAGTTCTCTACACACCACTGAGTGATCTCACCATCCTGCTCTTCCTCTGGGTGTATATGCAAATAGGAGCAGAAGCAGTGCTGTTTGCACACTAGCAACAGTGTCCTTCCATAAGGCAGCCCCCAAAACAGAGAATCCAGAGGGGTCACAGAGCAGGTGGGGCTCTGTGACCCACTTGAGGATCTTGCCCACTGATCTAGAGACCACTCTTGGTTCACACAGGGCAATAAGGAAGGCCAGGCACCAGCAAGAGGTTGTAACAGAGCCTTTCCCAAAGATCCCACAATACTCCATCCAGCCCTGAAGCAACACAGCCATCATCTATTTTGTATAGTTTAATACTGGTGAACCTGGACAGGTGGTAGGTCATCTGCAAATTAGGATATCTGATATGAACACATCTGTAGGAACATGGCAGGAAACTGCTTAGATCAGGGGTGTCAAACATACAGTCCATGGGCCAGAATCAGCCCCTGCAGGGCTCCTATCCGGCCCGTGAGCAACTGGCTCTCATCTGTTGCCTGCTTCTGACACCGCAGCTTGCTGTTGCCCAGCTCTCTCCTGCTTCCTGCTTCACAGAGGAGAGAAAGAAAGCCAAGCCTCCTTTCCCTCGATTGGCTGAGTGCTCCACACACCCTCCACACCTGCTACCCCTCTGCATATCACTCCTAATCTAATCAAGCCTGCTATTGTCATTCAGCATCTGAAATCATCTTTATAAAGTTTATATCTCTGGTACCTCTTGTTACATTTTATGGCACACATGGCCCAGCCAAACAATGTGACATTTATGTCAGATCCAGCCCTTGCAACAAGTGAGTTCGACACCACTGGCTCAGGTGGATATATCTTTCTAAAACTGCCACTGAAACGCCACATTTTTCCAAGTAAGGATTAAACTGGTGGTGGCATTGTGAATATAGCTTGGTCAAATAAATGTAGGTAGCCATGGTGAGGATCAAACCAAGAGCCCAAGAAAGCTCAAAGTTTATCAAGCTGAGATTTCACCCCAGTAAATAATATTTAAAACACTTCAGAGGTGATTTCTGGGTACTGTCAAAATTTCACAGCAAATTGCCCTAAATCCAAGTTCAAGAGCTGCTGTTGTTTTTTTTAAACTATAGAACTGAATCTTAGCCTTTTGAGCTTCAGTTTTTGTGTGCACATGCCCCCCCCCCCCAAGCACTGTTAATATTTCTAAAATCAGATAAAAGTCTATTAGGGACAACTTCTGGAAAGAAATTTTACAGAAAAGGTACTTGAGCAGCAGGTACTGAACAAAGGCCTTCTGTTCTTACTGTGAACACCTGAGAATTGATAAGATGCTCTATTTATTTATTTATTTATTTATTTATTATTAATATTTATACCCCGCCCTCCCAGCAAATCAGCTCAGGGCAGCTTACAGAAGTCAGGTGACGGTGAAGTCCTTCACTACATCAAGTAAATCACTAAGCATGTTCCTGTCCATGCCTCCTTTTCAATCCAATCCAATCCAATCCAATCCAATCCAATCCAATCCAATCCAATCCAATCGATTCTCAGTCAGGAGGTAGCCCTATACCCAGCTACACAACGTCAGCTACACAACGCCCTGCAATCTGACGTGACTTGTTTGTGGGCCTCTTCCACGTTACAATTTCCCCGTATGCAGAAAACAATCAGTTCAGGGCAAAGGGTCTGGCAGGCCCATTTTCTAATGTGGAGAGATTTTTCTTTTTGTAGGAAAAAAGCATTCAAACATATGAATCCCTGCATGGGATCTTAAATGGCACAGTCCAAGCACACATTTCCTGTCTCAGTGAGAAGCAGGATACAGAAGCATCTGTCAAATCTAGGGTTATTTTTTTTAAAAAAGAAACTATATTCAGTATTTAAGTAGATATGTACTTGTCTGTGCCCATTACCAGTGGAGACAGGAGAGTACACACCACTTAAAATGAAGACCTTTTAGGGGCAAGGTGGATGCAACATTACATGTAATTACTGCTTACTCTGCTGCCAGCCTAACTTCGCCCCACAGAAGTCGCCATCGTCATGGAATCCTGCAAAGGGATTTTCAAATCCAAACTTCTTTTAACTTTTAAATATATACAAGAGGGGGACCCGCGATACCCGCGGGGGGGGGG